TCTCTTTGTTAATCCTAAACCAACATGGCCGCCATGTCTTTTTCTCTTGACTCCCAGTCTTGGTACAAAAACATTTCTCACTATGTCTCTTTGTTAATCCTAAACCAACATGGCCGCCATGTCTTTTTCTCTTGACTCTCAGTCTTGGTACAAAAACATTTCTCACTATGTCTCTTTGTTAATCCTAAACCAACATGCGGGCCGCCATAATGACTGCAACCAATCAATATTTAGACCTCAAGTACAGGGGTCCGATACCTACCCTAAAATTGGTGCCATCCTCTAACTGGCTCCCGAGCACTGTGTCTCCAGATGTATTGATGTGTAACGGGAAATCACTCGGTTTGTCTATGTACGATTCAACGCCAACCTCAGTCTCACAGTCAGCCACCATGATAATCATCTTCTCGCCGACACTCAACGCTATTCGATGCCATTCGTTATCTGCAAGGCTTGCAGAGAAGGACACGCTCTTGGTCTGCTCACTTTTCGTTCGGTACACTAATCCAACAGGATTAATAGTGAAAGCTAGGGACATGTGGCCTTCACTGTTAAAAATTGAAAACAAACTTCCTCTGTTATCCATGGCGGCTTTTATAGTCGCCATTATTACGAAGGTTTTCGGGAAGCGTCGAGGGAATAAAAGGCGAGTGGGGAGACTCATGGCTTTGGAAGATGTTTCCATTCTGTAGGCGATGTCCTGTTCATATCCGTCGCCTCTTCTTCGCGGCCTGGACTGACATGGTCCTGTTGCTTTTGTCGTATTGCCCGGTAGGGCTCTCAGGTCAAACACCTCTACGAGATTAGCACTTCTGACTACAAAAAATTAAAAAAGTCATCAAAAACATTGTCTTGTTAGTTTTTCATGTTGGTAATGCTTAGTAGATTGGTCATTATCTGTCACTTAAGGGAGGGGGGAGGGGGGGAAGAATTTTTGTTGTGGCATTGATTAACGCTAACTGACCCTCTCAAAAAATCACGGTTTTTTTTAATTATATCCTCTCATACCTGTCAAGGTATCGCCTGATCATTCCTTCAGATGTGATCATGCCCCCTAAATCCTAAGACCGACCCCCACCCCCCTCCCCGGTGATACATAATGACTGGTGATCCTTATGACATTCTCAAGCTGCATTACAAAGGCGCTTAMAACAGTATTACTAATGATCGCAAGTGTGACCAATGACACATCAGGTTCTAACCATGTTCGTAGCGAGTTTACTTTACCCATTTAAAGGGTCGCGTTTGATCGGCTGTAACCGAACCTCACTGAAACTTTAAATGATTTGAATCATAAGAAGCATTTGAGGTCTTTAATAATTTTGGACTAGTTTCCATTTCATCAACCCAATGTTTTCCCCTTTTTTTATATCCAAAAACCAAATACCACGCCATAAAAACTCATTCAGTCAAATAAAGTTAGAATAAAGTTAAACTAGAGTAGGACACAAATACAAACGCGTTTAAAATCAAAATTTGAGAAAAAAGGTTAAGTAATTCGTAAAACAAGTCCAAAGCAAAAAGAAAGGGAAAAGAGCTCTATGAAGYATAACTTCTGGGAAATACCTAAGAAATATTTAGTTTTACGGTTACAATAAGGTCATAGTTGGAATATAATGATATATTTATTGTCTGATTCGATGTTTGTGCCAGTAACTCCTGTTTGAACACATTGTCAATCATATCAGATATCTGTCATTAACACCGATATTTAGCTTCTTTATCGCTCTGAAATAAGATCTTTTATATATCTTATCTCTTTGTGTTCTTGGGATTAGTTTTCTAATGTTATAACATGAATATCTTAGAGGCATGAATCACGTCAGATGTATGGAAAGGATATTTTCCTAGCTTTTTGTTTGTCCCATTTGCTTTCTTAATTTGTTTTTTAGTTTAGACTCCTGAAGAGAGTCTCTCCAAGCTTAAGCAAAAGCGAAAAACAACAACAACAACAACAAACAAACAAAAAACAACAACAAAAAACAAACAAACAAACAACAACAACAACACAAAACAAACCAAAACAGCTAGTCCTGGAATTTTGGAGAAATCTAATATCTAGTTTTTTTTGCATTTCTACAGACGTAATTCACTGTCCCATTCAACCAAATCCCATTTTCTTTCGAGCATATAAAAAGGAAATTCCAATTCCAATTGAACACCTCAATCAACCTCTCTGAAGAAAACAAATAACCACAGGCAGCTGCCATGTAAGATGGCAAGAACAATACGATCATCATTTTACATAAGAAAAAAATAAATTTCCAAGAGCAAAGGGATTTTATTGTTCTGCCATCTAACCACAGGCAGCCCAAGCTGCATTATTGGCTTGAGCACGTGATGGTGCAAAATCTCAATACTAACTGAAACAAAATTTAAAAAATATTTCATTCCCGGAGACTAAATAATTTGAAATACAAATATTCTAAAAATATTTTACAAATTGATTCGTTTCACTTTAACATATCACGATTTTTCTTGAATATTCTTTGTAAAAATACTTTTATCTTAACTGATGAGTTTATAATTTTGCAAGTCTGAGCAAAACGAACATGTTGTTTCGTGTATTTCGAATGGTATGAATATTGAAAAATACCAAAACGAAACCTTCAAAATATTTTACTTTATAAAACACATTTTCTTATAATTAACACTGACGGAAAACAAAAAAATATTTAGAAAAAAGCTGCAAAACTACGAGAGAAAACCTCTACATTCGTCGGTATCGAAGCTCGAATTTTTTAAATGCGAACTCATGCTTTCGCTCTGTAGTTATTATTCCCGACCATGCTTAAACATTTGATTTACTTACAAAAAAAGACACGATTTTGAGTTCGGAAAAAAACGAATTTTCCACAAATATAGTCACATTTCTATGCCAYGTAAGGGTTAAGATAAATAGGGACTTACAAATGGATATTTATTTTGTACAATAATATATAGAGAATATTACATGGGCGCGCGGAGATACGAATTTTATCTGCGAGTGTCGATATCTCACGAGTGAGCGCAGCAAACGAGTGAGATATCTAAATTGAACACGAGAAGATAAAATTCGTATTTCCAAGCGGCCATGTAATGTTCTGTTTATTATATAGATATCGATGAAACTTGAATAAAACAAAAGCTCAAAAATTCTTTATTAAAATAGCAAGCCGATTCAACAGCGATATCTTCACGTGTGAAAGATATGGTATCTTCCACTGGTGAAAGATATCAAGTTTTCGACACTAGAGAAAACCTGGTATTTCATCGATATCTATATAATAATATAAAATTTATACAATAGGTAACTGTACTATAAAACAATTCCCTTATTTATTGCTCGCGTCATGTCGGCAAAACTAATTTTGACGTTTTAGTCTACAGTATCAACGTTTTTCTTTAGCTAGTTATGACAGTGTAAATATATATAAGATCATTTTGAAGCAGATTATCGTGTTGTAGCAAAGCTTAAAAATTAAAGGGTTCAAGAAGCCATTTATGTGTCATCATTTTTGATTTAAAAAATATTCAGGCTAACAAATGACGTAAAATATTTTGTCGAGGAACTGAAAGAAAGGAATGTAAAATAGATATAATAAAAAGATTTTGATAAATTTTGAAAAAAAAAAAAAATTTTTTTTTCTTTACCAAACTTGAAATTATATTTGTAAAATATGCGATTATTTTTAATTGCAATATTCAAAGAAAGCAAAGACGTATGTTCGCAAAACAGCGTTTATTATTTGTCACGCTAACTCGACGTTATGTGCTAAAGGGATGAAGATTAGAAACATATACCGACCTCTCAAAATTATTTAAAGAACCGAGGACCAAACATACAAAAATAAAGGATTTTTTCCCATGAAACAGTTAATTTTCGTCACAAGATCATTGTGTTGCTAAAATTCAAGTCAAAAGAGGCGGAAATGAGATTTCTTCTTTGTAAGCTTATGTTAGGACCTTCATAAAATCCAAAGAATGTCGAAGTCTCATCTTGGTCACTGAACAATACAGTCTGTGGCGGTGTCGGGCGATTCTAACAATGATTGACTGTTTGCCTGAGGTGTTGCATTTCATGGACAAAGCACATTTCTGTTACAAGTCATTGAAAGTCCATCTACGAAGGTCAAGTGCTTTGGTAACACAACGTACTTCGTTCGAGACGAAAAAGTCTTCCCTTCGCCCTTTACGAGCATCATAAAGGCAAATCTATTTTATTGTTTGTGTACCCAAAGAATATTGATTCAAATTCTAGTGTTTAGAATAAAGCTTTTGTTGTTAATGAAAACGTTTTAATAGAGTGAATTGATCCTAAATGGAAACTGAAAAGTTGAATATTTACTAAAGGTCAGACATCTAGTCCGGGTCGCGTGTACAACGCTACACCTACCCAGTTGTTATATCAAATATCCGTGAAAAGACTCGATACAAAACAGTATTCATCAACTCGACCATCAGCAAATGCAACGGACCAAAACTTATGCAAATATACTTTTACTCCGTACTTATAAAACCTGTAAATACGCTTGTTTTGTTGTTACAATAATTGAACATCATTTGCGTGCTACGTAAACGAACAAACGCGAAAATACACGCAAAATCAAGACGGCATTTCAGAGTTTTTGCAACCATCTTTAGACAAATAAAGTAGCTCAAAAAATCAGACTTAATAAAGAAGAAGTGACAAAAGAAAACTTTGTGATTGGTATTTGAATGGTCTTTTATGCGCTTAAATTCCACAGCCTGCAACAGGAGGATATCTGTGCAGGGTGGTTTACCAAAGACAGTAATGTGTGTTTAGTAAAGTAAGGATAAGTGATTTATGTGTGAAAAATAAACATAATTTAAAAAGAAAACTTCATTCTTCTACGTCATGCAGGGTAAACAATACAAAGAGCAAATTATTCACCTAGTTTAGATAACTATTACTGTCGAAGAAAGCTTACGCTAAACACATATAGCTTGAGATATTTAGCAACTAATCATGAATACCAAAGCCCAAGGACGTATTTCACTGCTTTAGACGAGCAAGATTGAACACCAAAGCAGTGGATTGCCTCCATGGGTAAAAAAGCTAAATATTATGGCAGATAATAGACAAATGAGAAGAAAATACCTATTCGTCTGGCCGCGGACACGTCCTGGGACGAAATACCATGGACCGAAGAAAGCAGGGCCAAAACCAGAGACCCAACGATGCCAAACGTCCTATAAAACATGGAATCAAAGCGATGATTATTTGGCATACTTGCTGGAAAGTTTCGAAAAGCATAGTCACTTACCATGTAGCCATCTTTGGCTTTTATTCCGGCCCAGCTACGAACCGCAAAACAGTGCTGCAATATTATCCCGTATTCGCGAGCCGCCTCAACACAGGCTCACAGTGTATGAAATGTTCGATTATTTGGGAGAAAATGAGACGTGGCCGTGATTGGTGGACTGGACCTCAAGTGTAACAATATCTCTCTCGACACGAGGTCATTCCACCGATACAGGGATATATATTAGATGGACAGCATCAGAGGATCCATTCAAGACTAGGACTGAACTAGGACTCTAACGGATAGTTCAACAATAGCCGTTAAACAGATCCAAAGAAAATGATAAAAATCAATGCTTACGGCTACGCCGCTGAATGTTAGCCCCATTTTACTTTTCGCTGTGCTGCTTATTCGTAACTTTCTAMGAATGCTACAAATTTTCCAAGAATTCTTCAATTCAGTCTAGATTCAAACGCGACTAAAAGCTTTTGGATTGTCAAGCACTGTGAGTGTTTTAAGATATGTAGGACCATGTACCAATATGGTGTCTACTTTGAATTTTTGTTTTTTATTTATTTATTTGCCCTTTTGTTTGTTTATCTATTTTTTAAATTTTATGAGAAAATCGGAGCAAATTATACATAAACAAATTGTGTAAATGCGGACTTAATTATTTTCGTAATTATAATCACAATGCTGATAATTCAAGTTTCGAAGCGACACTCTTCGAAACTATACAAGTATTCATTTCTATTTTGCGCTCTTGCTAAATCACAATGTGCTGAATGGAATACACAAACAACTCATTGGAATATATAGCCATTGCCTGGTGTTGGACAACAAGGGTTATGGCAATCAAATACAGAGTTTTAGTTCATGAAAGTACAATGCTAAATTACTCGTATTGACTTATGAACAATACAGCAAATAGCTACAAGTCGAAATGAACCATTCGTTCGTTAGGAACCATAAAATTTCCAAGCATTTGTTACCCAGAAACTGACCTTATGGCCAGTAATGTCAAAGGGCATTTGGATGAAAGATTTGTGAGATGGATTGATCACCTATATGTGCAACTGGTAATCGTATATCATGATTATCATAATATCAGCGGTCCGTATGAAATGGAAATAAAATTGAAATTTCTCTCAAAAACTTTACAGTCGCTCATTATTCATCGGAGAGAAAGTGGATGGGGTCAAAAATCGGGGGGAGGTGAGGGGGGCAAAAATTGTAGCTTTTCAAAAGTGCTTGTGTGTTTTTAAGGGGTGAGGGACCTCCAAAATAGAATACATTTTTTTGCGAATTTCCCGATCACAGTCCCCTTGCATTAATAATTAATTCATGGCTATTAAGACTGATTTTTCAACTGAGTAGAATGCATACTGGGTCTGAGTCCAAAATGTTCCAACAAACTGCAAACACATTTCATTTCTTAACCATAAAAGCGTAATACAGTCTGACAAAAATATAATATGGGAGAAATAGATACTTGGTAGACTTGGAAATGTCCCCAGCTTGGAGAACATTTACTGTGGATTAACACAAGTGTAATCACTAGCAGTCTTGGGTAACTACTTGTATTTTCGATTGATCTCCCGATGTTTATAATTCATCCATGTCAACTGTACAAACGAGTTTAAGCCAAAAACGATTTTGTCCCCAGGGTTGTTCCGAGGGTTGTCCCGAGGGCTGTCTCGAGGGTTGTCCCGAGGGTTGGCTATAATAATCTAAACAAGGGGGAAGAGGTCGACTAGTATTTTCAACCTGTCAGCAGTGAAAACGTTGGCTCCTTTTTTGTCAAATCAATCCGAATACAGATATACTCTATTTCCAAACTCTAGAAATTTGTTAAACTCTACGTTTTATTATTGGGGGACAGGGGGATCATTCGAAGTAAACTTTTCAAAAATGGTTGAAGCCCTCCCTTCACACAAAGTAAGAAATCCATGGTACAACAACGAAACAGCTTCCGTCAAGCTAAATCGGTTTGACCCTCAAAAATGCCCCCCCCCCCCCACACACACACTCACACACTCCCCCACAAAAAACGTAGCTTTCCTTACTTCGAAGGAACTCTCGCTATAAATGGCGGACATTCTTGTGACATGTACTTCTCATCTTGATTCTATCACTGATATTATTTTTAATTCCATTTTTGAAAATATTAATTACGAGTTAAGTTGGCTTACCTTGAAATTGCTAGTAAATGATTGATCATAGATATGACTGGACGCATGCATGTATGGCTGCCATTACTAGATGAACGTAGTACACCAGACAAACAGCTACCGAAGTTCATTTTCTTGAAATACACCCTCTCCTTTTGACTTTACAGCAGCCTCAGCTGAAGTTTAGTACCAAATTAATGCACAAAGTAAAAATACCTTTTCCTTTAACTTTTCTTTTCTTCTTGCAGAAATTGCGATGAAGTTCTTGACTTTACTGCACACCCATTCACTTCTAGAACAAAACAAATGTCTGTTTGACACTCTTAATAAAGTAGCTATCTAAACGCAGAAAAAATATCAAAACATTGGTTCCCGACTTTTTCGTTTTTTGTTTACATAAAAAATAATACTGGAAAAAAAACCACTAAGGAAAGTAAATTGGAAGTCAGACCTTTCCCCCGCCTTTTTTCACCATTTTCCCGCCAAATACTATTTGAGCCAATCAAAATGTCAATAATTCGGCGGCTTTGCATGCCTTGATTGATCAACATGGCGGGAGGAAAGAGAAAAGTGTTCAACAGAAAAACCCGGAATAAAAGACAAAACGAGACGGAAAATACAGAAGAAAACTCTTCAGCTAAAGCATTGAGGGATACTTCTTCCCAGGGGAAGAAGCTAAAGCTCGATGAAGCAAAAGAAGTAGAAGAAAAACGTCCTGTTTCAGTTCAAGCCTTGACGACTGAACCAACGACTTTAATCAAACCGAAGTTGAGAGACGACGATGTATCAAGGAAAGCATCAAAATATGTTCCTCCATTTTCTAGAACTAGAAAATCAGGAAATACTGAAGAAAAGAGTGGTAATAAGAGCCCTGTAACTAGATCTTCCACTAGAAAAAGAAACCGTTTACAAGTTTTGACCGAYGTTGCAAAGCAAAAGTTGGAATTTGAAGGCCGAAATGATGAAACTTCTTCATTAATAACAAGCGAGAAAACAGCGGACTCTTGTCCATCTGATAGAATTAAAGTAAGTTCTCGACTTATACTAGATTTGAATAGCAAATAAGATCATTTTAGTTTACTTAACTGTAGATGTCAAACTCCTTTGTAGACGATCAGGACCAGGGGTTGAGGGGGTGTTTGGAGAGGGGACTGGTCAGATGGAGGGTCAACAGAAAAAGTTGGAATATTTTTGGAATTGGCATCTGTGTTTTGTCAACAGGAAGGAAAGGTCATGAAATTTTCCATTTAAACGAAAAGGGAGGTCACAAAGTTCTCATAAAGTATGATATTCAAAAAAAATTTCACTGGCCTGTCCCTGTGACAGTAAGCTTAAATATAACTGATACATTCGTAACCATCACAAAATACAACAATACAGGTTTTAAAATTTGAAGGTATTTTTAGAGCAAGGGTAGCACCAGCTTCTCAGATATTTCAGCAAGACCCTGATGTCAGTCTGGCTAGGGCTTGAACCATTACGTAACCTTTGGCAAAACAGGACTGTGCACTCAAGCCAACTGGGTAGAGTTAAATGGGAGCTATGCATACATTCTAGGTTACTTAGGTGGTCCTAATTGCTTTTTTGTTGAATCAATTTAGGAAGAACAAAAGGAAAGACTAGAAGTTCCACCTGCAAAACATCCAAAACTAAAAGAGAGGGTAAAAATAAACAGACACTTTTCATTAAACCTGAGAGGTAAAGGGAAGAAAAAAACAAAACAAAATGAAAGTGAAATAGAGGGAGAAAAAGTAGTTGGAAATGCAGCCATACCTGTGACACTGGAAGAAAATGAGATGCAAGAAACCAAAGTTGTTGAAAAGAATAATGAGAAAAAACACCAGAAAACTGCAAAAGAGGCTTTGAAAGATGAAACCAAGGAAAATGAAAGTGAACCTGAGGGAGAAGAATTAGATGGGAATGCARCCATGGAAGAGACAACAAAAGAGGAGAGGCAAGAAACCAAAGCTGTTAAAAATAATAATGAGAAAAAACATCGTGAAACTGTAGATGAAGAGGCTTTGAAAGATGAAACCAAGCAAAATGAAAGTGAACCTGAAGGAGAAGAATTAGATGGGAATGCAGCCATGGAAGAGACAAAAAAAGAAGAGAGGCAAGAAACCAAACCTGTTCAAAAGAATTATGAGAAAAAACATCACCAAACTGAAAAAGAGGCTTTGAAAAATAAAACCAAACAAAATGGAAGGGAACCTGAGGAAGAGGAATTAGATGGGAAAGCAGACATGGAAGAGACAACAAAAGAAGAGAGGCAAGAAACCAAACCTGTTCAAAAGAATTATGAGAAAAAACATCACAAAACTGAAAAAGAGGCTTTGAAAGATGAAGCCAAACAAAATGAAAGTGAACCTGAGGAAGAAGAATTAGATGGGAATACAGCCATGGAAGAGACAACAAAAGAGGAGAGGCAAGAAACCAAACCTGTTCAAAAGAATTATGAGAAAAAACATGAAACTGTAGATGAAAAGGCTTTAAAAGATGAAATTGTAAAAATCCTTATCAAAGAAAACAAATTAAAAAAAGTTCCTGATGAAGATAGTCAAGCAACATATCACCCCAAAGATGGCCATAATGAAGCTCAACATTCCAAGTGTAGTATAGACAACAACTTGAGATCAAAGAAAGAAAATGCATCAGATTCCACAATSAACAAGCCGTACTATATAGACACTGTGGTTCAGGCATGTGTTGACTTTTTGATTCAAACTATCGAAGCAGGTATGTGAAGAAGTGGAATAAACATTTATCAGAGGRATAGGGGAGGGTTAGAGCACTTATGGCATGCTATTCTTAGTCAGTGGGCAGTATATTAGACAACTCTCAGCATTAATATGTCCTTTCCCTTGATAATGAAGTTTATCGTATCATATTGTATGTTTTTCATTTGCTATTCTACATACAGACATTTGAGATGGAGAAATATTATTTTGGTAGCACAAAAACATATATGTCCTGTTTGTAAAAGCAAAGTTTTAGGTTTTTGAGGCCATATTTTTACGATGGGTTGCACGTACTGCAAGAGCCTAGTAGCACTTAACCATGTGCATTTGATCTTTAGGTATTGTTGGCACTTGTTCCTGGATTTGAACCCCCCTTTCAAAAGTGCTCTAATGTTCCTGCTTTATCATTGATTTTTAATCCATTTCTGCTAATATTTCATTTAATAGGTATTCCAATTGATGTTGTCGCTAGTGATAATATTGACTTAGCTCCTTGCCTATCTATAAAGGCAGACTCGGAGAAGAAACCTCAATCAGAAAACGATGATGCCTGTGCTAAGATATCTAGCAACCACATAAATGATGAAAGCATCGATAGCAATTTAGAATATTCTAAAGCAATTGTGAGTAAAAATAGGCAGGTTAATGCTGATCAAGAAGATCACAGCTGTCTCGAAGATGGTGTGGGTGATAAATACAAGGCAGTCCATGCTGATGCTACTAATTATGCTCTTATTGAAGACAAATCCAATGCAAAAACAACACTTGAAACAACATTACSTAGAAGCAGTGAGATAGTCCCTTTGTGTATTCATGCTGTTTGGGAGWATGACAGTAGTTTAAAAAAGCCTGAAGCTGAAGGAAATGATGACAGCAAGACCRTACATGGTGTCACTGAAGCCATTCATAATTATGGTGTACAACAAAAGAAAGAGTTGGACACTGAAGTGTATGATAAGAACAATACAGAGCCGTTAGCTCTTGATGTTATTGTTGATGATGATGATAAATACCAAGAGAAAGAGCTTGAAACTAATGTGGGAGATGGGGACTGTTCAGACATTGACATTGTTGGTGATGATGAGAATGATGTAGAGCTTCTTGTCACTGAATTGCATGATGGTAGCAAGGCAAATCTTTCAGAGGATAATGATGTTGTTGGTGATGGTGACATCGAYGTGAAAAATCTTGGAGATGAGGTCAATGCAGCCAGCAAGGCAGACCTTTCAGATGATATTGGTGATGATGACATTGATTTAAAACATCTTGGAGATGAGGAGCATGCAGCCAGCAAGGCAGACCTTTCAGAGGATATTGATGTTGTTGGGGATGATGACCACGCTGCCAAAGTAGGTAATCCTGTACAGCTTGAGTATGCTACTAATGTTGGTGTTGACAATGTGGTACGTTCTGAAAGGATTTATGCAAAGTTTAGTGACAATCACATGGATTTCCCTGCTGCTGTTTCAGTTCCTAACAAAGAAAACCATGTCAGTATTATTAACCCTGGTGGCAGAGATGATAATAATATGGGCTCTAAAACCTCTCCCAATGAAATAGATAGAAGTAGTTCTAAAACTAGTAGAAATACTTACATTGTTGGATATACAGCTACTTGTCAAATGGATATCTTGACTGCAATTTCTAGTACCGATGGTAAGAATATGTCTAAGAAAGAAGAAACACATGGTGCATCTCTAGAAGAAGTGGAAGTATCCAGACTGAAATGTGTGAAGATACTACCYGAAGCCTGTGAAAAAGACCAGAAAAAATGCACTAACAAACAAGAGAGATCTGCAAAAGAAAAATTTGACAAACAAGAAAAATCTCATATCATCCAGGAGAAAGAAAGTTCTGTGGTCAACAAGGAATGTGATATGAGTGGCGTAGCTTTGTCAAAATGTGGAGAAATGGATCTTGATTATGTCATCGATTGCACAGAYTCACAACTGATTGGTGCTAAACCAAGCAGTGGCTCTGATGGACTTAGATATGATGATCTCAATCTAGAGGATCTAATGGACTGCAGTGATTCTCAGCTAGTTGATATAGAGAACCTAGAAAGCCAAGCATTAAACAATCAACTAAGGTAAGCATGGCAGATCTGGAATTGTTTATACATGTATTTGGTTACACATCTCTCAGGTATTAAAATTATATACATTTTAAAGATAGATCATACTTCTCAAGTGAAGGTYTGAGTGCATACAATATATATCAATGAAAACCTTTGTACTAAATTTGCACTAAYTAGTAAGTTTCAGTAGACCATAGACCTAACAAACTTTTCACTAATATGTACAATTTTGTTAGAATTAATAAATGGTATGCCTTCTACTAAAATGCCCCTAACTTATGGACCATGCCCATTTCAGACRCTCCCCACCGCATCAGCAGGTATCTCATTTTTACCTTTATGTTGCAGGGCAAGAGATGGGCCATCCCAAGCATTAGTAATAGAAGATGGAACTACCCTCATACAAGGCCTCATTAAAGAAGTATCATCTATCAAGTAAGTTGAAAAAAAACTTTCTATATTTTTAATGTGTAATTTGTGCTTTTGTGTTCCTCTGCATTTTCTGACACAGGAGAAAATAGAAGGAGAGACAAAAGGTATTTTAAGACTGGTTTGCAACATGCAACCCAGTAACTTACATGTAAAGTATTACTTATTTCATTGGAATTCTATGATGAAATAATTCAATTAAATGCTTTTGTTTCAGACTACACCTGATGGATGTGTGGAATACATATGAACAAGCCAAGAAGAGAAGACATTTGACCTATACGCCAGTAATAAAGAAGCGGAAATAGCTTCACAGTCGTGAAAGAAACCTTGAAACCTCAAAATTCTTTTGTGACCTAAAAACAATGGCTACAAGTTGGATTTATGTGCTCATATACTTGCTGTATTCTATCAAGCTCAGYCTTGATTTCAAACCATTGTTTCATGGTTACTCAAGACTAGTGAAGTTGGGGAACTGGTCTATTGATTTTCTATTAAATCTATAACTACAATAAGCCTGAAGCGAGATGAGGTTTTACCCGCGACTCTATACCATAACAGTTTTTAAAATTCTTTCATATTTTTAAAATTTTTGATTCCTTAGAGAATACAGGAACAATAGTCAAAGAACAAAAGCAGTGTGAAAAGGATTATGGTCTAGAGTCGGGGGTAAAATGTCATCTCACTTCAGGCTTATTATAGAGCATTTTGTGTCTAGGAGCTAGGGAACTCCAAGCATTTTTTGTTGGCATTTATGTAACTATCAAACTTACAATAGATCTCTAATTAAGGTGCGATTACATGGAGCAATTTTCTCTGCCTTTGTAGCATCTGTTATGTCAACCACAAGTGCATTTCAAATTGTTAATGTGATGCCAATGTTGTACCAGGTGGAAAATTTCTTTACACCATGTGATTAAACTTGACTGCACTTTGGTCACATGGTGTAAAAAACTTGTCCATGTGGCACAACATTGGCATCACATTGTGCCAAAGATAACACTATACAGTATTAATGTCTTTGACAAAAAACCACAGCTGTACAGGGCCAGGTTGTATGATTGGTGGATGGAGCTATCCAACAGATAAATCTTATCCAGTGGATAAATCTATTGGATAACAGCAATGACTTATCCACTGGACAGCCAGTCCCAGACTTGTAAAAATGTTGCTAAAACAAATAATTATTTTATTTTTATTTGGCATGTAATCTATTTTATAATTTTATTGAATTTGAAGGAATCCTAAAAAACAAACTCTCTCGACATACAGTCTATGATTACTATTGATACTATTGATTGTTGGTATTTTCACTGTAAATGTTGTCTTAATAAGATGATTAACATGTTGATGGCAAACTATATGATTTGTGTAACTATTATATATATATTTTGAACAATAATTTAAAGTCTTTTGTTAAGTTCTGTTATTAGGGACTGGTTATTATTCAAGTTATGAGGAAAAATTGACCTATTTCATGATGTCAGATGTAAACATCATCATATTTGTTTAGTTATGGGGAACAGAATTTTGATAATTGAATTACATTTTGATAAATTAAAGATGTTTTTTAAAATTTTTGAAACAACATTTGAATAATATGTCGCATTTCCAGAGCAGACAAACTACTACCCAAATCACTCTACTCTTAGCACCACAAAATGAAAATAGATCATGTCTTGAATTTCTGTTAACTTGTGACCATTTGGAGTGCTTGGTCACGTGGAGGTCATGTGACATTCAAATAGAATAAAAAACTAATGTTTTATGACCATTTGTAGCTCTCCAAATGGTCACACGAGTTTTAATATGATTAAAACAAACTTAGATGTTATCGACAACTGTGGAAACGAGATTGTGATTGGCTGAAGTTAATATGATATTGATTCTGCTCTCTCCTGATTGGCTACTGTTTTCACACTACATCGTGATTAGATGACTTTGCAAGGGTGGTCAGAGTTAATGTGTCTGCACTGTAATTGATATCTGGGCCTGGTTGTATGAAGGGTGAATAGCGYTATCCAACGGATAAATCCTTATCCAGCCGATAGTGCTATCCAGGCTTCAAACAACTGGGCCCTGATGTTTATGTATTTTTTCTGTCAAATAGTGTTTTGATTGGTGATATCATTAGGATTATCAAATAGGCACGCTAAAATATGACAAATATTTAATCATTATTTCACTAGGTGGTAGGGTAAGGCAGGTGTGAAAGGATGATTGAGAAGTGTTCCCTAAATCCCTTAAAACTGTTGCACTTGATCATTGCTAGCATATTTTTTTCATAAGATTTGGATTACGTTTGCCACCTTTGTAAGGCATTTGAACTCAATTTGAACCAGATATGATAACTGGCTTTTAAAAAAAACACTGAACTGGTGTGGAGAAGGATCAAACAAGTTTTGTTTTTAAAGAACTTTTTAGTTTCCTTCCCAGATGGCTTCAACTTTATCTACATTTAAATAACAATCAATCCCTCATTTCATGCTTTAAATTTTCTATTAAATGATTCTCAAAATCTGACCTTTTAAAACCACCAGAATCTAATATATATTATGACAATGGTACAGACAATACCCAGTGCAGCGTACTTGGCATATGCCGACCGAAGGTTAAGGTACGTGGCATCTTTCTTGTATTTCTCTGATTGGAATCGCAGGTTTCCTGCCTTGTCATCTAAAACTGTTTTGAAATAAATTTGTTAAAAAAATGTTGAGCTTCGTATCACCAAATATGGAGTTGGATGTACAAATGTTGAAATAAATATTGGCAAATTTGATTGTCTAATGATATTGGCAGAGGTGGATGACATCAACCAAAGTAAGGTTTAATGCACCTTGTATGGTGCATGTACCATATTTTTTATTACAATAAGCACATCAAAACGTTAAGATTGGACAACTCATCCATTCAAATTACAATCGAAAGCTATTTTACTGTTATGGTGTGTCATACCATGTTATACCACTTTTTTTCTAACATGGAAACTTGACTCTGACTGACATTTTAAAAGTTGAACTGAATATAAATCTCATATTCTGATTGGGAGTGTGTGCTTAATGACAGCACACAGAAAGTGTGTGCAGTTTCAGTTGCATCATTCCTGTTCAAAATAACAGTCAATCTAATCTGTATTTTATAAAAGAAATTTTTGCTGTGCTGTGTGCAGTTATAAAGCACTTGGGGATTGGAGGGACACTGTCTAGGTAATTGTTGTTCTCCTAACACTTCTCTCAAGTTCTGCCAATTCTACATATACACACAAGTTTTCTATATTTCTTCAATAAACTTGATTTCACTATGATTTAAYCCAATGTCCATGGTTGGGTGTGATTGAGTAATCATTGTAAGGGACTGCTCATTGCTTTTTGGGGAAGGGGATGGCTGCAAAACTGCCATTCAATTTGGAGGTTCCCCTGAGATAAAGAAGACTTCGTTTGGCCAGGGAGGGGTGAGGGATCTTGAGCTGTGCAGATATTGATGTAACTAACCTCTGCCCTGTCATAACTAATGAGTTACCCTTACCTGCTCATCTCAAATGGGGAGGGAGGTAAGCATGAAAAAAATTTAAACTTTCCAATTCAACTCTTTATCTAAGGCATTATTTTCCCCTTTCAGACAACGTGTCATTCTCTTGAGAATAAGATTCATTCTTTGAGTTTTATCTAAATCCATGTGTCTTCTCATGTGCGACCATTGAACAAAGAAATGATACTCTAGGGAATGACACGTGGTCTGAAATGGGAAAACATTGTCTGTCACCAATCCTCCCTCCCATAAATGATGATTTATTCATAATTAATGTACACGTGTAAGGAAGACCTTTTTGTCATTACACACTTACCTGACAACTGCTCTCCTCTTTGTAATACATCATCAATATTTTGAACCATTACTCTCTGAACATCTACGAGCTCATCATTTATTCTGTTAAGTGTTCTTCTTGTCCTGGAGTCCTGGTAATTTTTCTTGGCTTTTTGAATATATGTATCTGCCAAAGGAAAAGTTTGACTAATTAAAGGAAAGCATGGGTGGCGTGGCTGTGAGACTGCCCACCAATGTTCAGGTTTTCAAGTCCCAGTGAGCTCAGTGTCTAATACGGTTGATTGTTTGTTCTCTTCTGTGCTTTAAGGACTTTCCCTGGGTATTCCTGTTTTCCTCCCTCAGCAAAAATCAGTTCTAAATTCTGGAATTCTGCAATTCCGTGGAAGAAGAGCCACTCTTGAAATCCACTATTAATTCTCATTATTTTTTCATTATTTATTAACAAGCAAGGCCATATGAGATACGACTGAGAAAGTTTGTGTAATTGGGTGGTTTTATATGATTTAGTACACAGTATGCACAAAACAAATGTTCAACGTCTGATGACAGAAAAATATTAATTTTACAATAACTTACAAATTTCTCACGYGCTTATTGGTTATTTTTTATTATTAATAAAAGGACAGACAGATAAAGCTGAGGTCAATGTGCGCACGCTCTTTCCGTTGGTTGTTTTGATCGCTAAAAATGAGAAGTTTTTATCGTTTTTGTTATTGTAAAAAACAAATAGACATCAGTTTTTTTTGTGTCTGTCCTCTTATTGACGATACATTTTGCCATCACATTGTCAAAGTAGTAGTAGGCTATGTCTCATGGATCCACACTACTTTGACAATGTGATGTCGCAATTTATCGTCAATAAGAGGACAGACTGATGTCTATTTGTTACTGTGCTTTTATTCCGTGCTAATCACTCAATTCCAACAATCTGATTAAGATAAAAATGTCCATTTAATTATCTTTTAAGGTATGAAGTACCAAGTAGGTTGAACTACAACTTACCAAATTCAATAAATGGATAAGGTCTGGACGCATAGGGGATCTTGCTACTGTATTCTCTGAGAAATTCACTTGCTATGTCTTCAAGGAAACTGAAAGCGGCTCGTTTTGAAAATGCTTTTTCCGATAAGGTAAGAAAGCAGACTCCATTTTCTATTATATAACTAGAAATAAAAGATGTATAATGCTATCAAATATGTACCCATAAAACAACTGTTGCTTTCATTGTCATTCAAAACATAGAAGAAAGAAGGTTAGACTGAAAGGTATTCTGGGAAATGACACTTATTCTCTGTTGTATTCATTTGAGATGCAAAGTTGATATGAAGCTTCTAATTGCCTTATTTCACTCTATGACGTCACTGCTTGTTTATGTGGGGGATAGAATCGCCAAATCCAATAGAAAATTCAACAAAATTTGCTCCTAGCGAAACAGTTTAATCTAAAATGGTCTGGTTTTCAGATATAATATGTGTTAATATGTACTAAAAAATATTCTGAGCATTTTCTGGCTATTCTACTCCTTTTCGTGGATTGATACGGCTTTTAGAACAATTTTTGGTGAATTTGCGTTGATTTGACCCCCTCCAACAACCATGATCCTTTGCGTTTAAACAATAGATTGTTTTAATGTGACATCATAGTGAAATAGGGCAATAATATTAATAATTTACTTCCCATGTACCATAACTATATACCTGCTTTTTGATTTATGCATAGTAAAGCACCTCTTTTGTAAGATTAGGTTTAGGGTTAGTAAGTGGTTTGGAAGAATAATCTATTATCATTTTAATATCTTATTTATGTATAATTTCTTTTTAATCTTGTCATGAAACCGGTTGCAAATGGTGAAGAAGTGTCCCCACATTACCATGTATATGTATGCAGTGTTACTAAAGCTTTGATAAGGTTTGCAAAGTTGTATTCTGCTTTTACCACTCTTTTCATTGCTACGCACTGATCAAGACAACAGTTGCGTCAAGGAAAATGGGCAACACACTTCTGTCAATCAAATATATTGGTCTGTACCTTTCTATTCTCTGATTGGTGGCAGTGTATTGCCCTATTTCCCTGTTGCGACTGTTGTCTCAATCAGCATGTAGCAGTGAAAAGAATAGTAAGACTTACTGGAACATCATAGGTCCTGACTCGATGCTACTTCTAGCAGGAGAATGTTCATTAAGTTTTCTAAAAAGTAGCTTGGATTGTCCCTGGTATTCCTGTAGACCTCTGCTTGTCTAAAAATAAAAGGAATTAGAAGGCTTTAATACAATTAAAGGCTTATATACAACAAACATTTGATAAGCTAATAGGGCTAAACAAATGGCTGCTCAAGAGTCAGACAACAACTGGCCTCATGAGACTGAACATCATATGACGAGTCAATGAGAACAGTCAAGAGGACCAGGCTAACGCTGGACAAGTGCCGACAGACCTAATACGTCTTGGTGTAATGTTTTCCCATTTCAGCCATGTGTCATTCCCTAGAGTATCATTTCTTTGTTTAAGCTGTATCCATATTGGATACAGGGCTAAAACTAACAGCTGCTAAAAATGACTAGAAAATATGAAAAGCCACATTTGACTGATCAGCTCGTGATAAGTTAACGTGACTGGTCAAGAGAATTGGCCTAAGAGGCGGTTTGGCCAGACAAGTGCCAGTTTGGTCAGACTATATTGCCGACCATTATTGTGAGCCCCCAGAGGTGACAGCCAGTGGTCTACCCCTACTGCTCGCACTACCATTTCATAACTTATTTCATGGCATGCAAATATGCTGAGGAGGACAGGCCAAGTTTATCAGACTACAACAAACTGCTAAAGAGCAAAATTCTACGTTTGGGACTTCAAAAGCTTATCAACGTAGAACAAAGTACAAAGATGTACAGGGAGTTCATTAAGAACTAAATAGTAATTTATACCCTACATATAACTAATTACTAGTATTTTCTATTGTAAAGACAATAAAAAAACCTGAACAAACCATAACCTAAGATATAACAATAAGTTTAACAGATGATCAAAGTTCGCTGTGCAACTTTGACAAGTGATTTTGATTCGTTATTAACTCGAACTAACCTCTTGATCACTGGGCATCGACGCTGCAAGAGGTAGGCCGTCAGTAACACGGCCTATCATTGTCATGATCACCATTTTGGCTGAACTTTCAGTAGCTTTTCTTGTACTATTCTCTCTTTATTTTGATGTCTTGACCAACTTTTTACTGTTCACGTCTCAAAAGTACACGTGGACTGCGCATGTGTCATGGATACCAACAAACTGCTGGACAATACTTTATTAGTATCATGGGCTCGGAGAAAAATGGCCAAACTTGAATTGATTTTTTGTCCCAAGAAATATCCCCTTTTTAATCCCAAATTTCTCAAAGTCGCTCATAATCTGGTTTCCTTGAGGTTTATTCAACATGAGGATGAATTTCGATGTTTTATTCTGGCTTTGGTTGGCGATGAATGGAGGTTGTCTTGTGATCGTGTTCTTGTATTTATTCAAAGATCACGTTCCAGTTTCTCTGCATAATTTCTTCCAGTGGGGCAAAACAGAGACAAACGTAAAGACTTCTTCGTTATTCAGTCGCCTACTGCATGTTCCAAACAGGTGAGAATGTAGTATTATCAAAGAACCTCGAAAATTCCACAGGTAGCCCAAGCATTACTAATAACCTCGCGGGGGGGGGGATGTAGAGAAATTGGAAATTTTAAAAAGAAAATGGTTTTCCCACACTGTGAGCTTTAAGAGATTCAGGTTCTATTCTCGATATTAGTGCTTAAATTATTGTCGTCCTTATTTTTTCAAATATCACACTTTTTACGTGTTTACCAATTTCTATTCCTCTCTTGTACTTTTATCAAAATTAAAAGGCTTAAAAATCACCTTGATATGAAAGATAAAACCTAAATTAATAAGTACTGCTTTATCTGTCTATTTTTTCATTCATTAGAGTGCAAATACTATATCCGTAAAATGTTAGTAATACTAACTTACTATTTTATGCTAATTCTATTGTTTTCTTTTGTTTAACGTCTAGCACTATTTTGAACAATTTAGTAATTAGCATTTCATGGATATATTGTTTGCACTCTATAGGGATAATTTGCTTGGCCTGTGAAACAATATCTCACACAATCATAGTGTCATTGACCCCTACTACCAGACTCCCGTGCACACTTTCTTTCTTTCTTTCTTTCTTACTATTCTCATGAGGGAATACAAATTCAAATAAGAAAGAAAATTTGCGAAGCATCTTGGTATAGGGAGTTAAATGAGGCCATAAAGCAAACGTCCTATTAATGTCTATACTTGTATGTATATTATGGTTACTAGATACTATTTTTACATTGGCCAAGGAAGCTCACACTAATTTTCTTTTCAGTTGGTTCACCCACTTTTACATAGTTGGAGTATTATGGACTACTGGCCTACTTTACTCAGTCAAAATATTTTGCAACAAAGAACACGACACGTCATGGCTATACTTCTTCATCTCTCTGATAACCTCAGGCAGTTCTTATACCAATAATATAGACTGTTTATCAGTGGTCATTGGTCTAGTATTGCTTCTCATTCAAGTATCTCGGAGGTTGTTAGAGTGTGTTTGTATCAGTGTTTTCACTGGACGAATTCATTTGTCTCATTATGCTGTTGGCATTGTCTATTATGTTCTTGCTGGAGCATCATTGGTTGCACCTTTTAATAATATGGTTTCTGCAGGTATGGAAATGATTCCAGTACAAGGGAAAGTTTGGTACCATGGAGATCTAGAGGGCAAAGAGAGACAGGACTGAATTTTCCAAGTCTAAACCCCTACTTTCATGTACTTTTAGTTATATGCAATCTAGTCTGCCCCAACAGAGCAGAAAAATGACAACCCTGCTACTTTAGCAATTTTTTTCTTTATCTCTCATGCTAAAAAACGTTTAGTGTTTCATTCGTGTCTCTTGTGCTTTAAACTTTCACAAAATTCAGCTAACCTCAAGCAATTCTGCTTCCAGGTATTAGCGAAAATGTTAGTTTTTGTGCTGATCAAAATATCATCTCTCCCAACGTTCAGGGTGTTATATCTCAAATACACATTCCTTAAATTTCCCCAAATTTTGATATTTTGTTAATCAGCCCCAAAAGAGCCTGTTTATGAAATATAAAGCTTATTAGCACATAAACGTCGATTGTAGAACCTGTTTTTCTGCCCTGTCATCTGCCCCCAGTCTAAGCCCCCAAACCCCACTTTTTTATGGGGCTTCCCACGATGGGAAATTTGTAATTTTTAAATTCCAGCCTTTTAATATTAGTATATTTATTATGTTAACAGATTGGTGTATCTCATGTGGCAGCATTCTCCCAAGCCTTCACTGGACACATGTAGTTGCTGTAACCCTCTTTACATGGGCTAGTCTACATCAGTATAATTGTCATGTCATTTTAGCCCAGCTACGATCATCCTCTAGTAACAAAACTAGAAGAGTGTACAGAATACCAAATGGGGACTGGTTTGAATATGTCTCTAGTCCACACTACTTTGCTGAGATTTTGATTTACTTCTCATTAGTTGTTTTAGAACGAGGACAAAATGCATATTTATGGTTGATGCTAGTTTTTGTCATACAAAACCTTAGTCTTGGAGCAACTGTAACTCAGACCTGGTATAATAGCAAGCTCAAGGAATACCCTAGAAATAGGTTAAGAATTATTCCTTTTATTTTTTAAATGGTTTTAGCATGAAGCTGACTGCTGAAAGATGGTTGTCATTGCTTTCAATCAAAAATAGTTTGTACCTTTTAGATTTTTTACTGGCTGTACTGAAAATCCAAATTTCAATGTGCAGCTTGCAACTTCTCAGTTTGCACAATGTTGAGAACTACTTGTAAAATATAAAATAGAGATGATCACACAGGTTGAGAGCAGTTCTCAACTTATTTATTATCGTATTTATTCACGAGTTTCCATGTCATATCACAAAYGAGTGATTCCACGAGCGATATGATATGGAAAAGTAGTGAATAAAAAAGATATCAGGTTCTTAGAGCGCAATTAATTGATCTGTGAAACACTAATTACTAAATAATACAAAATCATGCCAATTAAACAATAGAATTTGCATGAAATTGTGCTATTTAGTATTACTAAAGTTTCACGGTTATATTGTTTGCACTCTAACATGTTATAATTTGTTTATTACACATCTAGGGTTGATAAAATGACAAAGTGTACAATTTCCAGTTTACTGTGAAGTGATATGGTATCACTTCTAATATGGTTTTTATCCATGGCTTTATCACACTGATATGGACCCTAAAAGTGTAATAAAATGAATCAATAAAATATATCTATTTCACATAAATAGACAACTTGATTTGCCAGTACAAAAATATACTTTATTATACAATATTCCATATATACAAGACGTTAATAAGTTATCTTTGCTATAGTATTTTGATATATGAAAACTGCAACAGGAAAAGCGTGTATGGTTTTATAGTTAAACAAGGTTTTGTTTGAAGATATTAAAGTGAATTTATGTGTTGTCTCCTAGTTACTGAGGGCAGAGCAAAGATTTTGATATGCTACTATAGAGTTTGTGCACTATTACATTTTAGTCTAATCAAACTAGTGATCTAACAATGCTGCATTCTGATTGGATAAGCTACTGCTAGGCTATAAGTTATATCCTACTAGTAGCAAAAAGTGTCAGCTTTGAAAACATTGGCAATTTAACTTTCATTAAWTTCTTTGCATCTATATATTTGGTTGACTAGTTGGATTTCACTAAAAGAACTAGTCCTCTTGCCCTCATGGCCTGAGTCAATAGCACATTCAGCCTTCGGCCTCATGGGCTATGAACTCATTTTCCTTTTGGGCTAGAGCACTAATCATTAAATAGCAACCATGCTGGATGGTAGGAACAATGAGAAATTCAATTCCCAAGAGCAAAGGGATTGAGGATTTTTTCTGTCATCAAACATTGCTGTCGGCATGTAATCATGCAACACTGCTTGTAAATTGAAAATAATTTTAATCCTCAATAAGTCATTTTGTTAATACACAAAAATTGTCATTATTTTTGTGTTATAATCAGAGCAAATTGTGCATGACTACAGATTGTCAGGTCCACGACAGCATATAAAGAAAATTCACACAAACACCACAAAGCATGCGTGGCAACTGTTCATCCAATCAGAATGCTTTGACATAGCATCACACTCCCAGGATGGGATATCAGTCACATTGATTTTGTCATACAGAATTTACTCTGATTGTGAGTGAAAACCTAATGTTGTAGTATGGTAGTTGCAACAAGGAATGAAAAAGTTGTCTTGTTCTTTGACATTTTAGAGTAATATACCAAATTTATCAATAACATTCAATAGGCAGAATATGCAGACAAAAGGTAGTGAACCTTATTGTAAAAGCATGCAATAAAGACGAGAACTTTCTTGGAAGCCTTGCCCCATGTCAATATTAGAGTATTAAAGCTTTCTTTAGCAGCTTGAAACAAAGACAAGAGAACAGAAGAAAATAGAAACAAAGTGTCCAATTATATTCAGTATTATTATAATATAACTGTAAACCAAATTGTTAAGGCTCGTTAAAGTCGTCATTAGTATGAGATCATAATAATATAAACTTTAATTTTCCTAAAATAGATATAGTATTACCTGGCCGGCAGGGGTTATTCACTAGGCAACTGTTTATTACTTACAAGGACTACTGGGTTGAATAAACACAAGCCAAAATATGATCAGATCTCAAAGCAGCAAATCAATTTATCAGAACAAGTATAAATTTACACACTGATTAAATAAATGTAAACAAAGTTAGACAACTTTTAAGCAGTGCGACTTTTAAGTCTGTCAATCACTGAGGCATATTTAGAATAATTATAGATGGAATAAACCAGACCAAAAAGTTCTGTGACATATTTCTTTTGTCGCTATCATTTAAGAAACTCATTAAAATTTTTGTTTCAAATTTTTGTTTCAAATTTTTGTTTCAAATTTTTGTTTCAAATTTTTGTTTCAAATTTTTGTTTCAAATTTTTGTTTCAAATTTTCTAAAATCTCTTACCATTTTTTACCAACCCAGTATTGCTCGTAAGAAAAATAGTTGCTTAGTTTCAATATTAGTATCTTAGATGTCAAAGAATTAATTACCACAAAGGCTTCAATGATAGACATGGAATCCTCAATGATTGTTCATACTAGAAGAAATACAAGACTCAACCATATTATTATGTTAAGTCTAATAGTGTAGAAGTAATATTTACAGATAGCATTTAGTCAACGGCAACCATAGCATGTGGCACAAGCAACTAGAAAGTATTAGAAGCTATATCATTACATATAGTTAAGGTAAATATCAATTATTAGATTATCAAAATTTATCAAGTGAATCTATAACATGTATCAAATATGTATGAATATTATGATGGTAGCAGCTAAGTGGTATTGCATCTTGTATACTATACAGTATGTGATGGGCTATATATAAAATGGTTCAAGCTTATCTTTCAAAATTTGAAATAATTCTTTATATTTCTGTACAAGCAATATAAAACGTTAATTTTTCTAGAATGTCGAGTACTTAGTGGTAAGGTTAATATGTGAAACATACCATTCTTTGTTATTTGAAATTTTTGCAGTCAGGGTAAATTGATTTGCAAAAGTGGCAACAAAATATATGGTTTAAAGGTTTAATATTTTTTTGCAATGCAGAGTACACACTAAGGTCTACACTCAATATTGATGAATTGTTGTCGGGTTCAGAAACAAAGAACATAGAAGCTGAGACCAAAATGGCACATGGGAAATGACATAATTATATTATAAAACTGATGTTTCGGACGTTAGTCCTTGATCGGAGTAAACTCCGATGAAGGACTAACGTCCGAAACGTCAGTTTCATTTTTACATACCATACGGTGTTACAAATTATCTATCTATCAACTGTTTTACTGGAAACACCGACGCAGTTTACACTAGTTTTCACTAGTTTTCCACCTTAATTATATTATAATTTATTCATTTGCTCCATCCATGCAGTCGGTTAAGAATGCTAAACACATAAAAACAGTGGATGATRCCATGGGTCGCCTGTCATGTATCTAATTAACGTACTTCCCATGTGCCATTTCGGTCTCGGCTTCTATGTTCTATGTTTCTGAACTCGACAATGATTCTTCAATTATTGAGGGTATGTAAGGAGTATTACACTAGGGCAATGAAATACAGTATAGCAAAGATGGCATTGGTGTTTAAATTTCGATATTCCAGTGTAGTTTTGAATACTGTCTTGGGTAAGACACATCGTACGGTCAGTTTACCATTATCCAGAGAAAAAATTGTAATTGAGTTAACTGAATGAAATTTGTTACATGAATAGTTTTACTACCAAAAATATGAAATAATTTTACCCAAACATTAAAAAATTTGGCCGGTCAAGTTTCAATTTAGCTGATGCTTTAAAGGTCTTGGATCAGTGTGAACTCAGCACTGAAGTCAAATGCCACTTTTTGCAAACAAATTTGGGTTGCTGCAAACTTTTGAATGATTCTTATTAATCATGCACATCAAAATCTAACACAAGAAGTTTGGTTTCCTCAGTACCATTGCGACTTCCCACGGCACATACTAGCTTCTTTTCGTCACACTTAACTCGCCAGACTACACCACCACTACCCCCACTTTCTAACTTGACCAAGTCTCTGATAAATTCTCCTGTGTGTAAGTCCCAAATTTTAACTGTTCCATCATCGGAACTAGTGATGACAAACTTACTACTGAACTGCAGGCATGTGACCGCACTCTGGTGCTTGTTAGACCCTGCTAAGGTTTGTAAGCACTGGCCGGTAGTGATGTCCCAAATCTTGACTGTTGAGTCAGCATTACCGGATACCAAGGTGTTGTTCCGTAACTCCATACCACTGGTTAGTGATTGGTGTCCTACTAAAGTGTGTAAGCATTGTCCTGTTTCTGAATGCCAGACACGGATAGACGTGTCTAGAGACCCACTGACTATATACACACCATCAAACTGAAGAGAGTAGACTCTGTTGGTGTGGCCTTGTAATGTATGGATGCACTGTTCAGTTTCTGGGTCCCACACTTTAACTAAGAAGTCATAAGCTCCACTTACAACTCTTCTACCATTGTATTTAACACTGTGGAATAAGAAATGATTGTGGCGTTTATTAAAATCTGATAGTCATATAATGATATCAATAATRCTTTCAATGAGGCAGCCATTAGACCTTTTTTTCCATCGACATGACTATATTATAACTCCTTTTATTACACATTTAGGTTCAATATCAGTGTGATAAAGCCGTAATTATTATAAACTATATCAGTGAAGTGATATTCAGTTAAGTGATGCCATATCACTTCACTCACAATAACCTGGAAACTGTGAATTTTGTTATTGTATTGCCCCTAAATGTGTAATAAACAATTATTACATGTAAAAGAACCATATCTTCTTTATGCACTCATTTTCCATATTTTATCACTCACTTGCTCGTGGATTCACTAGTTTGCGATATTGAATGGAAACTCATTTATAAAAACAATATCAAGCTCTTAACATATTATGTTATTCTTTTTATTACACATTTAGGGTCGATATCCGTGAAATAAAGTCGTGAATACATGTAAAAACCATATCAGTGAAGTGATACGATATCACTTCACGGTAAAACTGTCCAATAAGATCTCATGACATATTTTAATTTTGTCCAATCAAACCCTAAATGTATAATAAACAAATAATCACATGTTAAGAGCCTGACATTGTTTTTATTCATGAGTTTTTGCATCATATCACTCACTCGTTCGAGGACTCACTTGTTCATGATATCATGTGAAAAACTTGTGAATAAAAACGATATCAGGCTATTACATATGATAGTCTCTATGTATCTATTTGTGCCCTTGTAAACAATAAAGATGTCAAACTTACCATCTTACGGCTGCTAAGTGCCCAACAAGGACATGAAGACAGTTTCCACTCTCAGTATCCCAAACTCTAAGTGTACCATCCCTTGACCCACTGACCACTACAGAACCACTCATATCCATGCACCGTACCGTAGATGTGTGTCCATATAAAGTATGAATACAGTAACCTGTGTCGGCATTCCAGACTTTTAGTGTCCTGTCAGTTGATCCACTCACTATAATGTTCCCACTCAACTGAGATGACCACACACCACCTGTGTGGCCAACGAGAGTACGCAGACATTTCCCTGTTGTCGCAGACCATACCTTGAGCGTGCCATCATCTGAACCACTTACAACTCTTGAACCAGAAAACTGTAAGCAGGTTATAACATGGTCATCATGTCCCTTGAGTATCTTTGATGGTCTTATTTCCCCACATCTCCAGTTCCAATATATTTTTTGTTTAATCATAAAGAGTTTCTTAAAGGGACTTGGAACATGCTTTGAGGTTTGGGGAGACAATTCTTTGTTGTTGGTGCGTTTCCTTGGAGATTTGATTACACAAGCAGGTTCATCATCAATTCTGGCTTCTTTACACTTCTGTTTCCATAGCCTTTAAAAGAAAAAAAATATTTAGATATCTCAACAAAAAAACAAGAAAGGTATATAATACATTTTGACACATCAAACTCCTTTATGCTTTAAAGCAATCACTACTGTTCATAAATTAAGTGACATTATTATATTTAGGCTATTAAAGATTTAGAAGTCCAAGGTTTCTGAATGATTGACTTTAAAATATTTTAAAAACACTAATGGAAAAATTTAAATCTCTATCAATTTTTTTGTCATAGCAACTTCTAAATGCTGTTATCCATTTAAAAGTCTGTTTGTAGCTTGTATTCAAGTTATGATAATAGATAAAATGTAAACAAAGGCTTCCTTAAGATACTTTTAGAGATAAGATAATGAATAAGCTTTTGAGTTTAAATACACCATCCACAAAAATTTTTTTTTATAATTTATGTGCTGTCTTAGAAATTTCAAAACAGATCCACTGAAATGATTGATTGTTGATTTTTGAGAATATTTACATTTTTCTCCAATTGTAAAAGTAAGGAAACAATGTCCATAATTAATATGCCAATTGAAAACCCTTTGCATTGGATAATCACGATGAATGACATCAGCATCATTTATCAAGATCCAGCCTAGTTACTACCATCTGTTCAAAAAAAACTGTCATGAATACAGTAAGCCTAATGAACATATTCAACCACTTCTTGATATTTTTTAAAAAAGCAAAAAAAGCTATGAGGTTTTTGTCACTTCCAACAGCTACTGAATAAATTTATGAAATGTGCAGCTGAGAAGATGTAATATTTTTTTGCTTGGTACGGAAAATATAGAATAAGTATACTTACAGATTATCATCACAAAGAATTTGCCAACATTTGCAGGTTTGAGTAGCTTGAAGCAGATCCTTAGGTCCAAGGAATGATAGAACGTAAAGTGCAAGCTCTCTTGGAAGCAGAGAAATAAAGTCCCTCTGGAACCTCGGCTCAATAGTGCCCATCATATGTCTAACTAGAGTGGGCTCGCAAGTGTCTATAATTTCTTCTAATGCATATCTCTTTTCTTCTGTGCCCCATTGCTGAAACACATGTAACCAATCCTTCAGCCCTGCTGGAGGCTGGCTACATAAAGAAGTCCTTCTACATCTCCCTTCGCCTGATTGGCCGACATTCAAGTCTGTTTTTATTCTACCATAATTCCTTAAAGGAAGAACTCTCACAGTTCTACTTAGTTGGTTAGCTGTGCATAATTTCTTGGGAGGACTTGGAGTTCCCTCTGTTGGTTCAAGCTTGCCAGCAAGCTTGTGTTTACGTGATAACTTGGTGTTCGCTTTGAATGGAACTTTAATCATCTTTCGAAAAAGTTCTCGTCGTGGTTTGAAATCAGCTCTGCCTCTTTTCTTGCTAGAACATGATGAAGATCTAGTCTCTCTAGTAGTAAGGTTTCGTCTAGCTGCAGAACACAGCAGTTCATTTTTATTGCTTTCAACAACACATGGGCCAATCCCTGGGACTTGTTGCAAGTCAAATATGTCACTAAACCCTCCTAATGCATCACGATATTCGCAAATAGACTCTGCCTTCGTTCTACCAACACCATTTAAATGCTCAAGCTCCTGTGGTGTCGCTTTGTTTATATCAATACATCTTCCTCGGCCAGCCATTGGAAGCCTTCACTGAAAAGACCTTGTTAGATACAACAACAACAAAATTAATTTTACTTATCATTTTCTTTTAAAGAATTAGAATAACCAAAAATAAGACTTGAAAATTAATTTATAGAATGCCTAATAAAWTTTTTTTTTGGCAAGCTGTCGTAGGACGTACTCTCGTACATGTACGCCCTAAACAAACACCCAGAAAAAATCTTCCAACAAACGCTTGGAAACTAAATAAATTTTATTCTGAAACTATTAAAAATTCCGTACACCGTTCATGTTTATTCACGTTTTTTCCTAGTATGTATCATTGTGACACTGAACGGCTGCTTGCAAGACTTGAACTGGTTAAATACAAAGTTGAGTTGTTTCATGCAGAAAATGAGTCTTGAGGCTGGCAACCAGCGCTTACCGGCCGTTTAGTGATTTATTTATGAGAAAACATTTTTTCTCCTCTAAAAATCCAAGGAATTTCAAACCTTCTGGCTCAAAATAATGAAAAAAAATCTCCCTTGACTAAAATATTTCTTGGGATATGTCGAAACAACCTAGCGACAGCAACAGCAATAAAAACAATAAAACCTTTTATTGCATTTAGGAGTTCCTTCTTCGAGGTAGAAAATGAATTTAAAGATGAAGGAAATATCTTCATCTTTCATACGAGATGGACTCGAGGAATATGAATTTTGGGAACAAAAGGAAGCCTTGGAGGGGAAAGGTTATCCAAGATATTCAAACTAAATCACGAAGGAGAAAACTTATTTATGACGAACAAAAATTATCGTCGTTAAAAGACTAAGTTCTTACCTCAACAACAAAGCGAGTAGCTCCAGAACGAACTAAAGTACGTTTCAAAATCATAAGGCCATTTATATTCTAATTTCTTTTGGAAAAAGATGTAGAAGTTTGTGGCAGAATGGGCGAAAAAGTAACCAAATCCTGCCAAGGAAGAAACAAAGATGGCGCGTTTCACGGAAGTCCACGAGGCTTTCAACGTCAACGTCACACCTTGACCTTCGAGAGACTGGCGCTACATCACTCCATATTTGGAATACAATAGCTAAATCACGAACACGAACATTTGCCGATATCGTGACGACACGAAGATTTCATATCTCATTTAATTTAATTTAGTTCTTTTAATCATTTATTTTGCATTCTTTTGCTCTCTTAAAACACTAAGAGACAAATTATGTTGTAAATGCGTTTTCGTATTTTATAAAGTAACGAAAAATGGGCAGTTCTTGATAATAACGTTGGACATAGCTAGAATATTCTACTGAAAATAGTACAATGAAAAAAGGATAGAGTCTCCACTTCGAAACTTGAGTACTTGATTGTCTTTGTTCTACGCTACTAATCGTTGAGGAGGCACTCAAAAAGGGGATTCTTTTCATTCCAAGGAGATGACCGGATTACGAGCCTATTACGAGTACTTTCCGGAATGTGAACGAACATCTTCCGACAGTTTTCTTCGAATGATACCTCCGAATGCCTCCATCTTAGTTTACTAGTAGTTGTGAATAGTTGTAATATTTTTTTCACGCGTTTTCTTCGTTTTATTAAGCCCTTAAAACAAAATATTAAAATGGCTAATGCTACTGGAAAGAATGATAACTTTCGTCGTACGTGGGACAAAGATGAATACCAGAAAAAAGCGAAAGAAAGACTCAAAGGAGAAGAGGACGACGAACCTTCTTCATTCAAACGACATCCTCCAGTCAAAAGAGAACTTTTAAAAAAGAGAGAATACGATGTTGACCTCGAATCCAACTTGGGAAAATCAGTTGTTATTACTAAGAACTCTTCTATGTCTCAGAGCGGTGGATACTATTGTAATGTTTGTGATTGTGTTGTAAAGGATTCCATCAACTTTTTGGATCACATTAATGGCAAGAAACATCAAAGAAATCTGGGAATGTCGATGAGAGTAGAGAGATCTAGTGTTGATCAGGTGAAAAAGCGTTTTGAACTGAACAAAAGGAAAAGAGAGGAAGAGAAACAGAGCAAAGATTATGATCTGGAGGAGAGGTTGGCTATCCTTAAAGATGAGGTATGAATGTGCAAATCATTTCGACAGAAAAGTAGTATACAGATATTACTTTACCATACACTCACCACATGGCTTTCTTTAGAAACTAAAGTAATCAACGAGAGAAGATTCAGCTGGGTCATTACCACTGTTTCATTGTTACATGCTGATTGAGACAAAAGTTACCACTGGTCAATGGGTAACAGACTAAGCTACTGTCAATCAAGCAAACCCTATGGTTCCCATAGACCTATGAATTTATTTGTAGTAACTATGAGCACTGGCACTCAGGGTTTAAATAATGGATGGACAACAGACAATGTCAGCCCAGAAATGGGACTTGTCTGGTCAAATCTTTGCCTTGATGGTCGTTTTGCCCRGTAATGAAGCCAGAAACGAGGTATAACCGAGCTAAAACTAATAATATTTGGCTGGTCATCATGACTGGTGACTTACTGGCTGTTGCTTTAAGCGCTCAGCACTGAAGATAGCCATAGGTCTTTTATGTCTGCCTTATGACGCTAATAATGATTTGATGCTAATACTAATTTAGGTTAACAATGTTTGAAATCTCCAGGAAGAGCAGAGAAAACAACAAAGAAAAGAGTTCAAGAAAGAAAAGAAAATGAAAGTTCAACACGAGGCAGAGGAAGGTGTTGATCCCGAGGTTGCAGCCATGATGGGTTTCTCTGGGTTTGGAGGCACCAAGAAATGAATCATTATAATATGCATTACGTTATTAAAATACTAATAGGAAGATAAGTCGGTTGGAGCACTTTGCCTCCCCTCCTTATTTCAAAAAGGCATTTGTCACTGTTYGCAATGGACAATGCTAACAAGATGGCGCAGCACAACGACGACTACATACGTATTTGCCATGAATTCCACCCACTTACAAATTCGGGTCTAATATTCGAGTTTCGATTCTTCAGTTGCTCAGGGTTAGCTTCAGTTGTGTGGAATATTCAAATGACATGTTTTACAGTAAAGGTCCTGTGGAATGGAATTTCAAAGTGTTTGTATTGTTGAAGTTGTGTATTCTCTACCTTACTCTTGGTATTTGTGAATATTTGATGCTGAGATGAGGTTAACCCTGAGTAAATGAGTCTGTAATCAAGGAACACAGTATTTTACAACATTTGGAAAAGGAATATTTGTAAAACATCGTAATGATTGAAGATAGCTTATTGCTTCATTTTATGCTAACGATGGGCCATGGGCCTTGAAGCACAGTTATTAAGATCATTAATGGTGAAAGAAACAAATTCATTGCAGATATGAAGAAAACCAACCAACAAGGAAATTTAAGATCATTTAAGATATTGCAATTATTACTGTATGCAAAACATGATTTGATTCTCACATCACTTGGTAGACCATAGGTGTGTATTTTGATCTTCAGCAAACTATTCTTCATATTTATACTGCGACTGCCAYAAGAAAATCCTCAAAATCTTGCCGAAACTTTTTTATTTCATGTCACTGCAAAGAGAGTTAAGTTAAATCGTTTGTATTATATTCCAAAGAATAAAAGAAAATATATGTTGTCCTCAAAGTGTGTCTAAAATTTGTTTCTAATATTTGGTAACCGGCCATCATCCCCATCATCCCTAGTCTCCCCCACAGCCGCTTTCAGTGTCGTCACGCAATGCTTTCTCCCCTCAGGAGTGACGACACTGAAAGCGGCTGTGGGGGAGACTACATCATCCCCCATACAGATTATGTTATTTTTAAATAAAATCATTAAATGGTTTCGTCAACTACAAATAAAACTAAATATCTCAACAATAACTTCTGTTTTATTCTAAGATTGCATCTTGGAATAACTTATGTTCTATCGCTCTTCGCTTATCACATATCGCCATTCCCCCCTTCAACCTTTTTGAATTAGTGTGGTGTATTGTTAGTAAAAATAATGTCAGCAGTGTAGTTCTAATGGTTCTATATAATGGTGTATCTATAAATATTTAAAGGTATCTGCTTCCAGCAGTAAAGTTCTAATATTTGTGCTTGTTTCCTACGACCCACCCAGTAGTATAGGGGATGGGGGTTCCAGCGCAACGACCACCGGAGGATTACCCGT